AGCCTGCTTCTCCCTCTCCCACTCCCCCTGCTTGTGTGTTCCCTCTCTAGCTCTCTCTCTCTGTCAAATCAATAAATAAAAAATCTTTAAAAAAAAAAAAAAGATGATACATTTGCAGACTTATCAGGTATGAACACACAGCATTCTGTTTGGAGTACATGGGTGTGTCCTTGCAAGACTGTAATGATGTCCAAGGCCATTCTGTTTTGGAGACATTTCAATGTTCAGTAATGATAGGTTTTGCTGGCAAAACTTGTTGAGTAAATTTAGTATGGGCTAAACTTAGTGTGTGCTATAGTATACTATGTAAATTTATATATAAATTGTGTGAATTTGGTATGTGCTCTAACGTCCTCCAGGCCAATGGAGGGAAAAAAGATGGCAGTGGATCATACCAGTGGAGAACAGAATGTGCTCACCTGGCCTTGAGGAGAAGGAGGTGGGCAATTGTTACCTTGGGGTGGATTCTCCCCTGTGTGCAGGGAAAACCCAGGGTCAGTGGCCCAACCACCCAAGTGGGGAGCCATGGCCAAAGATTTATACCACACAACTACTGGGTTCTCTTCAGGGCTACCCAACAAATACCTGGGCAGCTCAACCAGTCAACCGCTGCTGAAACAGGCTGTTGAAAGCACAACGGGCACCGCATACAATACCCACCTTGTGCAGGTCTTGAAGACAGGGAGAACTGCCTCAGGCTCTTGCAGGCTCAACCAGTCACTATCCTTTAATATGACAGAATGACTATACAGTTCCAGTGATGGCTCATATTCCTGGTATAATTGGGTTGGGTCTGTTTAGAGTAATTTTTCTGTTGTCAACATAGGGATGCCTATGTGCTCAAAGGTCCATAACCTGAGGTAAGTCACATAAACCCATCCCAAATTTGGGCATAACCACCCATGGCTCTAATGGTGGTATTTTTAGGATACTTCTGGTCAGTAGTTTGATGGGCTACCTGTGTAGTTTGACTGACTGAGAAAGAATACCCAGTCCCAGTGTTCTTGACAGTGCATGCACAGGCCAGGTTTCTGGATCAGTATTGGTAATATCAGATGGATTACAAGTACTAGTCCTATCTTGTTCTTCCCTAATGTGCTGCTTTAGGGCCTTCCAATCCCCTCCCTGGAGTGGTGATATCAAGTATGGCAATTCTGATGAGCTGTCCTGAGGGGAAGCTGCCCACACACCCAAGAGTTAGATTGATTTCTTTGTTGGGCATACGAGTGAGCCCACTGTAGAAAGGTATTTCCAGCAGGTGTCCATCCCATGACCGGACACCACAGGGGCAGCAGAAGTCTAAGGTCGAAAAGACATATTTAGTAGTAACTTATATGGGGAGATCTTCTCCTTCTATAAAAAATTACACTTGGGGCCTAGTTTTCAGATGTTAATGTGGCTGGAGCTTTAAGAATTTGATCTGGTTGTGCATAACATACATGTCGATCAGGGGAGGCAGCACTGTCAAGGATGAGGAGATGGACTAGGGGCAGGACATGCCTGACCAAGACCCTCACCTTCTCCTCTCTTTCAATAGTGTGTATTCCATTCCATGTATAGAGCATTTTAACAGGTTCAGCTTATAGCAGGACAATAGGTCCCAGTGGAAATTGAGTAGATTCCCTTCCCCTAGGGGTGCAAAGTAACCCACCCATCCCAGTGGGATGTTCCATTGCAAATTCCTGTAGACGCCATCTTTCCCGGGCATGATGGGGCTTGGTGTTCTCAGCAGCCACAGCACTGCACGTTGATTCGTGGTGAGAGTCCAGGTGATAGCTGTTTCCCACAATTTCCATATCTTTACAGCGTTGGGTGTTTTGCCAGGCATGTCAGTAAAACCACCTTGGCCAGGCAGACTGAAGTACTGTCCGAGGCTTTAATACATTTGAGTAATCCACCAGTAGCGCCTGTTGCCGCATATGCCAGACTCGAGACTGCTGCTGAAACAGTCTGTTGAAAGCACAGCGGGCACCGCATACAATACCCACCTGGTGCAGGTCTTGAAGACAGTGAGAACTGCCTCAGACTCTTGCAGGCAAACTTCAATGTATTTCTACATATTCTGATCCCATCAGGGCTTACTCATTACCTCGGCTTCCCAGTGTCTAAACCGTGGAGTTAATCTCTTTAGAACAGCCCAACTGTCAGTGCAAAGGGTTAACTGTCAAGGCTCTCCAGTGGCACCTGCCAAACCACTCTGAGTTCAGCCCGCTGGTTGCTGTGGTTCATTGCAGTTTCCACCCAGATGGTGTCAGTGTTGGACTGAATAGCACCTATAGTCCCGTGGACAGGTTGCCCTGATTAGATCCATCTGTATACCAGCCATCAGCAGGCGTTCCCCCCACTCCCTCTCTAGGCCACTGGCGCTGCCCCAGGAATGGGGGCAGAACGTTTGGAGGATCTACATCCCCTACAGGGCCGAGTAGCGCCTGTATTTCGAGAGGCAGAGGGCTGGTGGACAGGGTGCTCCTCTGCTGTAAATAGGCATATCATTTGGTCAAAGTGGGAGTTTGAGCCATGGCAGAGCTGGGTCGATGGAACATATTCTCACCCACCCCTTAATAGGAAGGGAATAGTTTCTCCTATTTCCTTATGCCCCACCCCCCCCAGGCAATCTACGTTGTTTGACAGTTACCACTCTTTATGGGGCAGTATGCTCATAGGTTCTCAGTTGGCATTTCTCAGCACTGGTTTGATTACCTTAACCCAGGGACAGAATTTACCAATAGAGCTTTGCAGAGCTTGACCTTTTAAAATATCAGTGCTCCTTCCTGCTCCCCCCACTTTCTCTCAAATAAATAAATCTTTAAAAAATGGGGTGCCTGGGTGGCTCAATTGGTTGAACAACCTACTCTTGATTTTGGCTCGGGTCAGAACCTCAGGGTTGTGGGATCAAGCCCCCTGTCAGGCTCTGCACTCAGCAGGGAGTCTGCTTGAGATTCTCTCTCTCTCCCTCTCCCGCTCCCCCCTCTCTTTCTCAAATAAATCTTTAACAAAAATAAAATAAAATAAAATAAAATATCAGTGCTCTTCAGAGCGCTTGGGTGGCTCAGGCGATTAAGCAGCTGACTCTTGATTTCAGCTCAGGTCATGGTCTTGTGGTCATGGGATCAAGCCCCGAGTTGGGCTCTGCCCTTAGCGCGGAGTCTGCTTGAGACTCTCCCTCTGCCCCTCCCCTTGCTCTCTCTGTCTCTCTCTCAAATAAATAAATTAAAATATTTTTTAAAAATTATAAAATATCAGTGCCCAGTATGTTCTCTGCTATTGCAGAGATAAAAACCTCATATTCTCACACAGGAGGATATTCAGTCTGCAGTTCCCTGACATAGCCATTTACGCTGCATAGCTACTGATGGCCCTGAGAGAGCCAGAAAACTTCTGAGGGTTACCATGGTTAGAGTATGTTCAGCTCAGTGTCAACCAGAGTTGTCACGTACTGTTTACTTCTGGGGGACCAATGAGTAATGAGCTCAAAATGAAGGCCTCCACTCACGTGAGCTCTGACTGCCTCTGAGTGACCTGCACCTGGAGACAATCTTGGCCTACATCCTACACCTGAGGCATGGGAGGCACCCACCCTGAGTGGGACCAACACAGCATTGGACAGCCAGTCTATCGGTCCGGGTGAGGTCCTGGCAGCAACCAGGTCAAACCACATTTGCCTCCAGGTTACTTTCACCAGACCCTTTACAGCTAATTGGGATAGCCTTGTGGCTTTTCCAGCTCCTTCTGTCTCCAGTCTTTTCCTCAGCCCATACCCATTCCCAGGGTTTGCCAGTTTCCCCTGGGTCAGCAGTGGATCGCCCAACATCCTAAATGTCTTATCCTACAGCTGGGCTCAGCATGGATATCAGATTCCCATGCCAAGTGCTAAGGACAAACTTGAGGATCTTGGCTTTTGTTCCTACAGTGAATGTAGCCCAATAACGGCCTTCAAAAATGGGGGCATAGATGGCCTGTCTCATTCCCAACTCCCTGAGAATTTGTTGTACCTCCTCTATAGATTTCCAAAGTCCTCCATGCCCAGGGCCATCCCCTCATTGGGCCTCACTCTCCCTGCAGGCTAGAATATTTCAATCTATAAGGGTGTGAGCACCTTGTCACCCCCAAGCATGCACACACTGCCAGAGGGCATAGTGTGGGGTTATGTTGCTCATTTTCTCTGCCTCCTGCCCAGTCAGAGAAAGGCCACCACCCCCACCCCCCCATATCCTATAGCCACACTAACCATGCCTGGATACTTTCCCTGGCCTTCTGCTGGAACTTAGCAGCTGCATCAGTAAGCTCAGTGGGCATATATTCTCTCTTCACGAACATTTCCTGAACCGGGGGGCTGGCACGACTGTTGCTGTCCTTTCACTTTCCTTTGTATTAGGGGTCAGAACAGCACCAGGGCCCAACTATCTAATCCGGAAGTTGTTGCCAATGCATTCAC